CTTGTTGGCCTTGGTTACGGATATAGCCATTCCTTTCGGTGTATCGTTCAATCCCAAACCGAAACACACCGCAGTCGACGTCTCCAGCAGAAGCATTCCTCGGAAGACCAGTGCGCACCACTTTGGACCTACTGAAAAAACTTGTTCCTGTAACTGAAGCTGTCAAGAACCACAAACATTACGAACAGTTCAATTGGCGGCATGGAGCAGTCAAGCGCGAGTTTGAAGAAGATGACCTGGTCTACGTTGAACAGCATCGCAGAAACGCCAAGTCCTGGATTCCTGGTCGAGTCATCGAACGGAAAGGTTCCGTCAACTATATCGTTGCACTGGACATGAACGGGAGATCGAAGCTGGTGAGGTCGCATGTAAACCAAATGCGCCCTCGTCACACTTCTGATGATCCAGAGCAAGCGACGCAGCAACTACCATGAAGCTGTACCGTTGGATCCAGAAGTGCCATTCAATCACGATGTCCCTATTCCTGTTGGTTCCGTATCACTCGAAGCTGATGGTCAAGTGGCAAGTACGTCTGGCGAAAATCCTTTTTCGACAATCGATCATGAACCTGCTGCTCAAGATGGAGAACTTCAGTCCGCACAAAAGCCCGTGTCATCTGAAGCAGTTGGAGACTTTATTCGACGTTCTGTACGAGAATCAAGAATACCAAGATGGCTCTCTTCCTATGACATTTTCCAAAAGGGGGAGATGCAGTAGACCTAGATGTAGTAGGCCTTGCCTGACTGTCATAAGTTAGAGATTGATTCTTTATCCGACCACCAACCAAGATAGACGTAATAAATAGTAGCTCTTAACAACAGCTTGTTTTACTTGTTGGCCTTGGTTACGGATGTAACAAGTTCTATACCGGATTTTGAGTATCGATATCGGATCCAATATCCAATATTCAATGGAAAATACATCAAACATATTTCATTCTCTTCCAACTTCGTAATGCATTTTGAATATCAAAAACATCTGTCCACTCTTTGAGCCTACATCGCTCAAAATTCGCCGTGTTTTCGTTGTAATATTTGACAGAAGTTTCAGAGCCACCAGGAACAAATATGGGAATGTACTCTTCTTACTTGTCCTAAGTAAGATAAGGACCGTAAAATAACACATGTCATTAGTTCGATACCACTCCTCGCGTACCTACACATCAATTTCCGTACGAAGTCAGCCGTCCACTTCGGTTATTATTGCGTTGAACCATTCCCTCGTGATAACTCCATACCAAATTAGTGGTAGAGATCTTTCTGAATAGCTCGTCACGAACAAATTCTTCGTTGCCAGATCCTTCAACGGCACAGATAAAAATTCTGAATTTTAATAGTGATGCAAACATTCATTCACGTAAACTTGTATTTCATTTCACGCAACCAAGCAACTTGTAAACAATGTTGTTTACAACAATGGGCTTTTGTATACAATATTTTCTACATTGCATGAAATGTCTCAGAACTTTACATGGTATATAATGTAAACTTATATGATATGTGACGCTCCATTTATGTGCATCATACTGAACAGAAATTTACACTACTTTTTCGAACTGTGTGGAGATAGAACCATGTCGATGATTATTAACATCTGACCGATATTGAATTTCAATTATTGTTGATATCGGCCAGATATTGACCAGAAACCAAGCCTTTCGTGATATGAAAGCAACGGTCATCAGCGGTCGGAAAGAGTTGGAACTGGTGGGGAACATTGTTGGAGACCGACTATAGAGGATGATGAATAGACTTCTGTAGTTTGTTTTGTGAGAGTGGCAACATTATTTGAATTAAGGGTACTAATGGGGTCTGACTAACTGCATCTTTCTCTTGAGCCCACTCAAGAACCTACATTTCGTATGTAGATCTATAAGTGAACTGCTGGTCTGAGTTCTTCTGGTATATTCAATGAGAAGATGTTCCTGAATATACAGTCAAACAGCACTAATGTTGTGAATAACTTCAATGACAGTGCTCCCATTTTATTTTCGACAATCCAATGCCTACGAGATTGTGCCGATGGATGTGCCCAAGCTGTGTCCAATCTAATTTCGGCACATTGTGCTGAGTTACTTACCTCTTGGAAAAAGCTCAAAAACATGCTATGCAATTCGAGAGATCCCATAATTTCAGTTTTGACCTTACTAGTCCTATTGAGAATCAGGTTGCTCGAGATTATCTGAAAATTTTCTCGGGAAAACATTTTTTATGATTCCTGGGAACTGATTTGCTAACTAATAACACATACAATACAGGTAGAGGAATGATTCTTATTTCATTTGGTATAGTTTGTTCACAAAATTGAGCTTTAGTTCGCGAGAAATCGGTGATTGACGTGTTTGTTTACAAAACCAATTACGCCCTAATCTCGAGGTTCTCTGGAATTGTTTATTATTTTGTCATTAGGGTGACCATTTCCATGTAAGGGTGGTCTAAAATATCGATTTTTTTTTTCTAAAATGAATGTTTTTCAAAAACCGTAAGTTTTGAACCACTAGGCCAATTTTTAAGATCAAAATGTCAAATTAAAGGTAATTAAAGATACCTTTAAGGAAAAATATAATGACATTAAAAAAAATAATTGAAAAACATTGAATGTTATGTTTTACGGTTCTCATGGTTGGTAGACAGAGGACGCAATATGTTTTTATATTTTTTCCTCAAAATTTAGGTTTTTTACACAACATATAAAAAAAATCAGCGATGTGTTTTTTTTTTCGTTTTTAAGTTGTATTTTCTTGAAGTTATCAACTTTAGGATTTCGCTCAATACTCCTATGTGACTAGACTACCATGCGTCTCCAATGATTTATAACAATTGTAACATAGTCACGACGCTTAAAAAACATAACCCTGTAGTTCTACGGTGGTCCTACGTCAAAAATGCAGTCGTGTCTCAGACACAACTCCTTCATTTTTACAACAGTTTTAATATTTCTCAAATAAGATACATTCCGAAGTTTGATCAAATTTGATTGCTAATGTGTTAGATTTTTTTTTTTTTTTTTTAATCTTTATTTTAGAGATTTTTAGCCTGAGGCTAGTTCATGTGTTAGAAAGTTTTTAAAGATTTTTTTTCCCTATTTATAATTCAGTATGAAAAAATACGATCTGTGATAGATCATTTTAAGTATTTTAGCAGCCCCATGAGAGTCTATATAGACGCTTTACAGTTCAAACAACACATAATTCTGGAGTCCTTTTTGATTGGGTCGTATGAAACAAACGTAAACAAATTGACATTTTAATGCTACCAGACACTACTCTACTTACTCTTCCTAAAGGCAAAATTTGGGCCCGCTACCTCATTTCTGTATCATTTTCTCGTCAAAATACTATTCGTCGTACGTGCCAACTGACCAAAACATAGCTCAATGTTACATACGACACCTAACTTCTATGGGGGTGTCAATCGTCGTATGTAACAAAGTTGACAGAAGCGTAAAAACTGTACATAAGACCTGTTGTTTTTTCCTAATAAAAGTGCAAATTTAGCAAATATTCAATGTTAAACGGTTGAGGGTGGGCTATAAAATGATAACTACGCTTTTCGTGAGTAATTACTCATAATAATATATTTTTAAACCGCTAAAAAGTGCACGGTCGAATGAAAAAAAACACGGCATGCAAAAGGTCGTATAATATTGATTGGTTAAAAAACGTTTGTTTTTCAACAGGAACGCTATCAATACCTTACTCAGTTGATAGCAACACTCCTGAGATGTTAGTTAATGAGAATTTTGAAAGAATTATCCATCTCATTGAAAATAGAAACAATTTTTTGTTTGCCAGAACAAAACACCCCGTCTCTCTGATTGACAAAAATGTTACATACGACCCAATCGAAAAGGACTCCAGTATTATTTAAAACCATAAATTAGACTTAAAATAATCTTAAGGGTATCAAATTTCATGCATAATAGGAGTGAACATAATGTATACACCATATTATAGCATCACCATTGTCAGCTGTACCAAGATCGAAGGCACCGTCGGATCAGACACATATTTCCCCCCACAAATACTGGTTATTATAGGTTATTATGGTTCCTCGATGAGCCATCGGAAAGCATTAGCAAAGGTAGTCATTTTTGTAACAAGCTAAAGCACCAGCACGCTCTCAATTCGCCTTATGCAGACTGGCTGACTGAGGAGCGCTCACTTATACCAGATTGAACGACTGTAATACATATTTCTCACCATCGTTGTCGTCATTGCCGTATATATACATATTATATATTTTTTCTCAATGAAGAGACGTACCCCACTCTGCTGCTGTTTGCTACTAATTCCTTCAAGGTGATTTCGAGCAGCTTTTGCAGAGTATTGCATAGTAGAGCTTACAGCTTCTAGAGCGTGAAAGAAAAAGTTGTTCCGAGCATGATTCGTTCGTACCTCTCTATGCTACGAACCTACGTATACAAACTAGTAGATACAATTAGTCCACTTACCTAAATTTAAACGGAGTTCGGCAGGACGCCTAAAACAACTGATCCATCTGGAAGCGAAAATCCTGAGCAAAATCCTTGCTTGTTATTGATTTTGACGTTGTGTTCTCGCACTCCCTCACTCTGTCCGTTCTCCTCTCGTCGTCGCTGTCAAAAACAATTCCCATCAGGATCCAAGTGGGCGACGGAAGACATCTTCACGGCGTATCATCAAGGATATAATATCACCAGGCAGCACCGAAATTTCGAAAAATTCCTAGATTTTCCGGACCCTTGTGGGGCTAAATTCGATTAGCACAGCGAATTTTACTTTTAACAGCATAATTTTCCAGTTATGCTCACTTCCGTATGGGACGACGTAAGCCCCGTTTTTTTTATGCTCCTCATAATAAAACCACCACACATCACCAATGCTTCGCGCAAGACACTCGAATGGAATAAAAATTAGAATCTTGTTTCTTCACCACAGCTGCTTTGCTGCTGCTGACAAACTTTCTCTACTTGCATAAAAAAAACAACAATCAAACAAACAATATGCAAGCAGACTTTACCCACATCCAACGGAGAAGATTTTCACCTGGAAAATTCTTTCACACACCTTTTGCGAATGCACTCGCGACGCAGGAAAAGTCGCCACTTTTCTGCACCGACCTGTAGTTCAATGGGAAAATGGAAAACGAACTTGTTTCTTCGCACACGGACAAAGAATATGCGACGATGACGACGTCCCGCACTCGAATGGATGATGCGGATCGTAAAAAAGCGACGTCTTCGGGAGAAAAAAAGAACAGTAAAAAAATGACACCTAGAAATCGAAATGACAGCAGATGATCGTTGTGCACGGACCGGCATTGAACGCACTTTTTATTTATTGCACTGACGGTGTGAATGGAGCTGAATGTTCCTTTAGAGATGATTATTTTAAATGCAACAAATTCAATTTCAAACGAAAATGTATGTACATATTGCCATTAATTGGGTTCTTTAAGGGTATTGAGGTAAATGCATATTCGTAATCTGTATTAAAAATGGAACCCAAACCCAAAATTTCATCAATTTTGGTACACTGGAACTATTTTAAATAAGTACGATTACATTTGCAAAAAATCACCTTATTAGCGCCCCTCGGTGTCACTTTGTATGGGAGCGAGCTGTCAGTTTGTTAAGTTAGTGTCAAACAGTGAAGTTATTATTTTGCTTTAAATCTTGATTTAAACATCAAGATGAGAGTGTGTGGGTTCGAAAAAAATATCGCTGTACTCAGAAAACGAAGCTCTTTAAGATGATGTATAAAAACCGATACATTTTTCAAAATTAAAGAACCCAATTAGAAAGAAAATCTCAGAAAATTCCCACCGACCTCGGCTGGGATTGAACCCAGACCCATTGGGGTATTAAACAATGGTTTTAGCCGTCGATTTCTCGCGAATAAAAGCTCACTCATAAAAAATAATGTTAGAAATGTTTCCTCTACCAGCTAGCATTGTAATTTTGGAGAGGTAAGATCATTCGCGAGAAATTGACGGCTAAAGTCATTGTTTATAAAAGCAATTACGCCCCTTTGAAATGTTGGCACTGACATCATCATTTTTGTGATTGCGGATCTTAAAACTAGGTGTGGCATGACCAGTTTTGGCTTTGCCAATTGGCGAATCAAAGCAAAGTCAAAACTGCCCGAATAAAAATTTACATTAACAAAGTTTGATTTTGACGTCTATAGTCGCGTCCATACTTTAAGAATACACAGAAAAAAATGTCCAAACTGCTGCAACCAGGTCAATCCATCGGTTGTGTAATATAACGTTGTACCATAGAGGTAACTCTAAGACTAGAAGGTCCCGAAGAACCGTGCTCAACTTTTTGGCTCAGCTCTGGTACTATCTTCGGTCCCAAGTTAATCGATTCACCCCTCGAACATAGGAAAATCCATTATCCCCTCATTTTATCTGTCAAACTTTCATAGCGAATCAAAACAAACATTGTGTAGTAATAGAATTTCGTCTAGAATGGGGTCCGTTAATCGATTTGCTTGGGACCAATAGGCTACCCTAATAAAAAATTTATGGTTAATTTGCTTAACGACGTGTTCAGGGTATCATCCAAACCATTTGTGGAATAGTTTAATCATTTTGGTTATCGTTCATTTATGGTAATTCGAGGGGCACGCAATAACCTTTAACTCATACGCAAGCCTTTTTTAAGTACAATAATTACAGTTAACTACATGATTAATTACTTTAATTACGAGCGTCGGAAATTTTTTGAATTAATTACTTTTAAGAACAAATTTCAGCTTTAATTACAAGTCGCATAAATTAAGTACATTAACTCCATTAATGTACAACGAGAAATGTACTTAAATTTCCCCCAGCGTACCGTTAGACCCTTTCGTTATTGGCCCGTGAAACAAAAATTTCACAGGCCCTTTTGCTACGTTAAGGATAATTTCAGTTGGTGATTGGTGCCAATTCACATACAACGATCGGTTCGTGATTGGAAATGTAGTCGGATTTCAATACTGCCGAGGTGTTGGCAGGGCAATGAACTATATCCTGGATCACGCCCCTGTAAAAGCACCGGAGAATGCGACAATGAAAGGAATGTTTGTTTGTGCTACCTGGTTCAACCTAAGAAATAACGAATTTAATTTGGAGGATGCGAACGAAAACAGAATTACAATAGAAAATTATGTTAACCTTTGCGTGCCTAACGTCTAAATTTGCATAGATTTCAAAATTCAATTAGCTATAAAAACATAATTTCTCAATATTTGTCTTTACACCAAATTGAATTTTGTCTTGCGACATATCAAACTTCATGATTTTACAAATCTTGGCCAGTAATGGCCTTATTGAGAGTTCATGGTCACACTAGCCCTCCCAGACATGTTCCGGTGCCCCCGGGGAAGTGGCCAATTCTCAACAAGAACCAAAACCCATCATGCGGCATATCAAACAACATGATTTTACAAATCTTGGCCAGTAATGTCCTTATTGAAAGTCCATGGTCACACTAGCCCTTCCGGAAATGTTCCGGTGCCCCCGGGGAAGTGGCCAATTCTCAACAAGAACGAAACCCATCGTGCGACACATCAAAATTCATGATTTTCCAAATTTTGGCTGGTAATGGCCTTAATAAGACTCGACGGTCACACTAGCCCTCTCGGGCATGTTCCTGTGTCCCCGGGCAAGTGACCGATTCTCCACAAGAACCAAAACACGTCATGCGACATATCAAACTTTATGATTCTGCTGATAATTTTCAATTATCGACAAGAACCAAAATCCTTCGTGCGACATATCAAACTTCATGATTCTGCACGGCTAATAATGGTCTTAGACAGTCCACAGTCCCATTTAATTGTCTCCCTACCCCCCCCCCCCCCCCCCGGTTAAATATCCAACTCCCAATAAGAACCGGAACCCCTCGTGTGACATATCAAACTTCATTATTTTACGAAACTCCGTCGGTAATGTCCATATTAAGAGTTCAAATTTGCTATCCCAGACAGCTGAACGGACACTGGAGCTGGTGAATACTTTGGACATTCACACGCTGAGCTACTTCCGGGAAAAAATCGCAGCTGGTATGCAATTGTCTTCCCAGCACGGATAACTTGAGTGTGTCAAGTTGATCGGTAACGATCATTTCGTGTCCTGTGCACATTGGACTCATCGTTTCCTATCGGTTTGGAGTTCTGCCCATAGTATTGTTTAGTTGACCCATGGAAAGACGAACAATGAGGAGGCGAATTTCATAAATGCTATCGCGTCAATTCTGAATACGGATGTGATCATATGATGGCGATAATACAAATAAAAGCACACAATAATTATATGCAACCAAAACCTGATTATAATTTTTTTGTTAATGAACTCTGCCTTAAATCTGTTAATTATTATTAGTATAATAATATTAAGTTTGAAAGAAATATTGAAATAATCGAATAATTCACGCGTAACATCAGAAAATTAATGCAAATGCATATACATCTTCCATTGAATCTGTTAATTCAGGCACAAGCTAATATCATCATCTGTCGAACTGTGCTGCGAGCATGGCTTAAAATTCGAACATTTTTTGATCGGGAGGAAATTTGCTCGAGGAATTGCTTGAATTTAAGGAAATGTAAAATTTGAAGACTTGTCGTCACAACTAAGAGATTCCCATTTCATTTGTATGGCAATCACGGCCCTCATTATGAGTATCACTTCCTTTTCACTATATATTGTCGCTAGAGTTGTAAACCGATATAACCCACTCGTGACAATCGATTTTATTTTAGTTCTGCATTAAAGCGCATTATTCAACGAATACAGTGCACTAGATACGACATTATGTTGAACGTACAAAACGAAAGTGAAATCGATTGTCGCGAATGGATTATTTCAGTTTCCAACTCTAGCATGGTGCTCCAAGAAATTTAGTATAAGTATTCGCAGAATTGGTCATGTTTGTAGTCTAGTAAAACATTAATACCCCGTTCACATTACAGCGTATATCACGTGATATAGGCTGTCTTGCAATGAGCACTCATACATCTAGTTTTCACTGGAAATTTTATGTATGAGTGCTCATTGCAAGACAGCCTATATTACGTGATATAGGCTGTAATGTGAACGGGGTATAATATGCGTATTTCAGGGTGTAAGAAGAGTTAAGAGATAAATTCATTCGAGTATGTGTTAAGGGTTTTCTTATTTTTTTTTAAATACTTCAAGAATAAGGATTTTGGTACGTTTTTAATTACACTTGTGTAACTTTAATTACATTAATTACAGAAAATTAATTTTTAATTACATTAATTACGTAATCAAATTGAAGTACGTGTTTTAATTACAGTAATTACACTGGCACTGCTTTGATTACGCGAAATTAAATTTAATTACATGAAATACTTAATTTTCATTTTTAATTACTTAATTACATAGTTAAACACCTTGTACTTTAAATCCAACGCAGTCAAGAAGGCTATTGCGTGCCCCTCGTGGTAATTTTTTATTAGGGTAGTCAAGTAGTGAGCCAATTTCAAATCGATAGTTTCGTATTGATTGTTGGTTGTACGATGTACATCGATTTTGCGAACAAAATTACATCCATTGATGTAATATTGTATCTGCTTTTTGCTATTACATCATTATTTCATACATCAGCTTGAATTACATTGATCGATATTACATTTTTTTTTTGCTGTGTAGTTATCTGCTTTCGAGGCAAGATCCTACTTTCATCCCACCATCCCCTAAGTAAATGCCACCACCTTGCATTGAACTGACTCTCTTTTCGTACGGTGATGTCAAATTTTAATTTAAAAACAAACAAAAAAATTGCTTGTCTCTCTGTTTTGTTCGTTGGTTCTGCTAGTTCCTTATCAATAATTTATTAGCGATAAAAAAAAACATAAGATTAGTCATCCTGTGCGCAGTGTATTTGTTTTTCCAATAGTGTGGTTTTGCATCGGAAAAAATAACCATCCAGCCAACAAACGATGGCCCTCATCAACATTGACGGCGATCCATGGTAGGTAGAAGAAACCTTATAATTTCGACCTCACACCTAATTGGACTTGACCTCGTTCTCGCGTCCCAAATTGCGCACCATTCGCCAGGCTCAGCGATTTGGATGCCTGCGAGCGGCTGAGCAATGACATCCAATCGCAACTGGTGGCGCGGAACCGCCAAGGTCAACTGTCCCGTGAATATTCGTCCATTTCCGGTCAGGTCAGGGTACGGCTGAAGCAGCTCGGTTCCGAGCTAGAGCAGTTGAGCAACAAGTTGAAGTACATTTCCGGCACACTCACGTCGGCCGAGGCAGAACGCCGCCAGCGGCAGGTGGAGGCACTACAATCGAAGCACGTCCAGCTGCAGAAGCAATTCAGCACGGTGGTGGCGTCAGCCGAGCGGGCCAGTTTGTTTGCTTCCGGAAACAGTCGACTGTTCGACGACGACGATGACGATGCGGCATTGATCAAGCCGGAATCAAGTTACACAGTCACAGACTTGCGCTCACAGCAGACTAGAATCCTGGAGGATCAGAACGAGGGCCTGGACGCACTTTCCAAGGTTATTTCCAGGCAGAAGGTTCTAGCTTCGCAAATTGGCAATGAAGTTGATCTACACAATGGTAATTTGCTAACATTCTTAACGGATAAAAAGATTCAAGTTTCACATTTTCCGTTGTAGAAATTTTGGACGACTTAGCAGATACAATGGAAACGACAGACTCCCGAATAAATCGGGAAACTCGTCAAATCGGTGTCGTCACGGTACAGGATTCTACTACTCGTGGCTATTGGCTGGTGATTGGAGTGCTGGCACTTGTCATTGTCTTGGTGGCCATTCTTCTCTAGCTGTTGATGACCAGTTTTACTTCTAGGCACTTGTCAGAGTTGGAGCACAGACGTATCTGCTGGTTTCGGATGAGTACAATGCAGGAATGGATGTGCTTTGTACTGTTAGTTAGATTCGGATCGTTTTCAGTGAATGCAGCGAGAATACAAATTATTTCACTATCACTTAACCACAGACAAACAGACATAACTTATTGATTATTTCTCACTGTAAAACATCGTCGCTAAAACATTGCCGCCATCTGTTGCATAACTGTGGTCGGCAGTACGCTGAACAGATGGCGGTAGTGTGCAAACGTCAAACGCAAGGGAATTGACTATGCGCGCCACAGGTGGCGCTACTACCAACTAACATACTTTTAAATTGATCGTTAAATGCTTGTTCGATGAACAACTTGCGAGTGTTATGTCTGTTTGTCTGTGACTTAACTATTTGAGCATAATCTATTACCACCTACTTATCGATAGTTATTGTAGTGTTCGATCTGTTATATGTTAGAATTTTTTAAGAAGCATAACATTTTCACGTATCAAATATATTAGGTATACCAAAAACTAATTTACCTTTATACGCAATGCAAGTAGTTGTTCTTCCTTGAGGAAATTTCTTACAATACCAGGCTAATGAATCACTTTAAGGTGGTTCGCTGTGAGATCCTTATTCTCACTACCACTTCGAAAATTTAAATGCACAAATATCAGCTTCCACGACACGTACTACAATGAAACTGTTACTCTACGTTTCCTGCACTGCAGCATACATGCAGTAGCAATTTCAGGTTAAATGGAACTCTAATTTCCGAGTTTTGTGTAATTCAAAATTCGAGGTGGAAGTGCATTTATAGCCTATGTGGCGGCCATTTGTGGACTCTACAAGGAATCACCTTAATGCTCGGAGCTATATTTCTCACTGATGGTGCTATTTCAGTGGTTACTTTACACTTACTACCTCTGACTACATACATGGATCAGCATCAGATTGATTACAGTAGGTAAGTAGCTTTTTGAATCGACCCTCTCCGAACTGTATGAAAATTTGCGTAATTGTTTGTAATGGACAATGATTCACATTTTTGCTAAGTAGAATTCGGCCAATTTGAATCTTGTAAAATTTTCAAAATGGCATCCTACATACAAATTGTTCAAAAACAAATGTAGCACGGAATCGACATTTCTGATCGAAATGACGTCTGAGTCAAAGTTTTAGAGAAAAATAATCACTCATATTCAACTTGTTTTTTGTATGGAAAAAAATGGTTCGAACGAAAACAAGAATATGGATGAATGTTTTTTTTTTCTGGGAAAAATAAGCAAAACATTTTTTTTTTATTTAAGTAAAAATTAAAAATTAAATAAAATCTCAAATGTCTCAAAATGTTCTTGTCGATTCTTTCGCGCCAGAATTTTTTGAAAATTTCCAAAGGCACGTTTTTGAAAATTCTACAAGATCTTAAATGGATTTTAGCAAAAATGTGAATCATATTCCAAAACAAACAATTATGCAAATTGGAGAACGTCAAGGTTTTCTGACTTTTCATTTGGCGTAGAACTGCTCAGTTATAGGAGACCCCCTATTTCTCTAACAGGACTGGTAGCAATCACTGCTGTCAAAAATAGTGATTTTAGTCACCATGTTGAAGAAATAAGTGACCAATTAGTGACTTATAATTGTAAAAATAGTGACTAACAAGTGACCTAAGAAAAGAAAAGTAGTCGTAACTTTAATTTTTATTTAGAAAGTTTATAGTCAAACCCACGGTATTAGTGGTATTAGTCCGGGTGTCTACTATTACTGCAAAAACCTGGAAAATCGAGTATCCTTAGGAAATTTTATTTTTCTTAAAAATACCTGAAAGTCTCAGAGAATTGAATAATTTTCTTGCTAAGGATATTTTTAAAAAAAATAATGAATTTTAAAATACTAGCATTTAAATTTTCTCGATATTTTTAATAACAGTTTGAACTTTATAGACCGTGTATTAATCTTCAGTAACAAATAAATTTAAAAAAATCAGAGGCTTGCAATGTTACTTTTTTTTGGTTTTGGAACTTGCATATTTTCTACAAATTTTAAATTATAACTAGTTCTGGTCTTAAAAGCTATAATACTTCAAAAAATGTTCAAGAATCTGGAGTCAAATTCCATGCACAGTTTTAGAGGCTCGTGGAATTTTGTTATAATTTCTAAGGACCTCATTCCGCGTTGGTCAATTTGGATTTTTCAGATATAATCCTAAATAGGACCTAGATTATTTAATACTCTAGTAACCTCAGGTCCGTGCTCTGTCACAATGTTTCATCGTGATTAATCAACACTCAAAGGGGTAAAATATAAAATTTTGGGTAAATTTGAAAGAAAGGGAACTTGAAGTGTAGAGCGCACTGCCCACTGGACGATTCTGAAGCCTGGCCATGTGAGTGGGGTAAGGGTTTATTTGATTGAACGTCATTTCCAATGTATATATTGATACATTCAAACCATTGGCATTTGAGATAAGACAGAGATAGGATGCGGAGGGGCCGCTTAGGAAGAGCGTAACCCATGTTATGGTTTCCATTTATTAAATAGTTCAGATAGGCTAGAAATGACAGGTTTATAGTGAGAGAATGTACCATATTGGGAAAGCATAATTTGCATAGGATTCAGAGCGGCTGAGCTGTTTGTTTGTAGTTTGACCTTCCTTCAAAACCAATTTGGCTCTAGAACAATTTTAAACTTTTTCTGCATTATTCACATGTTGCAATTATTGAAAAGAGCTCGATATAAGATAGCCACAGAGAACAGACGTTGAGGCTCCAAAATTTCTCTAAAAACTTTTGTAATGGTTCCTATTCGACTTAAGCGCCACTAACGGCGACTTCCTTTTAATCTTTGACAACATGATGGCGCTGGCGTTGCAAAACTGACACTAGACACTAAGTGCTGGTAGCGCCAAGTGGCAATTTCCAGCAGATAATTTATCGATACTAGCGCCAAATTGGTCGAAAGTGATAAATTTATAGAGGAAATCAGGAGATGCTAGCGCTACGTAACGGCAACGTTTCCACTTAACTTTACACAAGTTTCTGACCGAACTTGGACGTCTAGTCTCTGTGAGATAGCTTAATACAATTAAATAGAAATGCCAAAATTTTAAAGAGTAGTTTAGCTGTTCTGATTTCGGTACAGTTTGTTGAGGTCGGGTATAGTTTCTGAGTATGGATGCCCATTTTGAAATAACTCATATTAGCATTAGCTCAGAGTAATAGTTTTATTGCTAGAGAACTTTCTTTTGGGATCGTCTTTTCTTCATAAAATTCTCATTATTCATACTAAATTAATCATGATCAGCCTTAGAAAATGTTATATGGTTAAGCCCCGTTCTAGATTTGTTTGTTATTCATATCTTATGCATTGCAGCTCGCGAGAGGTTACCAAATATGGGTTCTTTTTCTCATCCACAATAGTTTGGGGGGAGGGGGCGATCTGAGAGCTGAATAGAGACAAATAAAATAGGGAACACAACACCATGACCCAAACGACTAACCAACGCATGCGGCTCACACTTAACTTGTTCTATTTCTTTCTTCCCCTCATGTACCAATATTACCTACCTGAGAACAAATGGGAACACGGCCAGATTTTCAATAGGAAGAAGGGAAAAAAAGCGAGAAAACGGTAGAGAGTAAGCAGTCAGAAAGGATTAGGCCATTTGGAAACAGCCAATTTATACTGGACGGAACTGGTAAGTAGGATAAGAATTTAATATTTTTTTTAATTTCTTTATTATCGAGATTTTTAGCCGCAGGCTGGTTCATCTCCCGTTTAATGGTAACATGGAGAGGGCGTTTGAAAGATCCAGTGAGGCCCCCCTTGGCAATTGAATAATAAATAGTTACAGTGGTTCATGCCATATTATAAAGATGTAAAACAAAATCGTAATCCGTTAAACGTTGGCAAATGCAAATGATGATCCTCATACTTGGGACAATTCACAAGTATGTGTTCTACTGATTGTTCTGTCTGGCATATATCGCACCGTTTGTGCCTGTCTGGTACTATGGAATAATCGTGGGTGACTCGAGTGTGACTCGTTCTTAGACGCGATAGGGTTCGTTGGTCTTTCCAGCGGGGCTGATCAGGCTATTCTTGATGTCACCTTTCACCTTTCGCAAAAATAGCCATCTTTCTTGTTGCCAGCTTTGGGCCCAAGCATCTTGGATGATCGCTTTAACCCATGTTTTGACGTCATTAGCTGGCGTTTCATTGGTATACAAATTTGACTCCCGACCGACAGACGCCAGATGGTCAGCGGTTTCGTTTCCAGCTATTTCGACGTGTCCGGGTATTCAGGCAAATCGAAGGTTGCTATTAGCCGCATTGTGTATAGCTTGGATCCACGGGTGGCGATTCTTGTAAGACTCGAGCGCCGAAAGTACACTTGCTGAGTCAGTGAGGATTGCCGTAGGACACGATGAAGCTCCAGAGCGACAGCTTCGGCTGTGAACACGGAACATGTATCAGGTAGGCGATGAAAGTAGGTTATATTGGGACCGGTTACCCCAATTCCCACGTGACCCAGTGCTTTAGAGCCGTCGGTGAATATGAGTTGGTGATTGGCAAGTTTGGTAGAAATGAATTGTAGGTATGCTTTGTGAAGGTGAATAGAGTTTTCTCCAGCTCTGAAGTTCCTTTTTATTGTCCAGTCGATGTTCAATTGAGGAGAGTTCCAATCTCTGTCTCCTACCCAGTGAGCCTCAGAAACTGGAGGGAGCTCTTGATTGGTCAAATATTGAAGGAGTTTGTTCGCCTCCGTGAGGAGGAACACTCCCTCATTCTCACCGATGGTGTGTTCAAGGAAGCTAACTGCTTTGGAACAGGTAGCGATGGTCATCAGATGCCTAAAGGGAAGTACACCGGTTTCGATGCAAGCAGCTTTTTTCTGGAGTGGATGAGAGTAGCCCTGATACGGTCCTGATACACCGGTTGTAGATCGGTCCCAGCATTGCGACCATCAAGTCGGCCGCACGGCATGTGATTTCGATCCCGTAGAGAAGCCTGCTTGTTACTACGGCGTTGGAGATTCGAAGTGCAATGTCTCGGTTATTACATTGATGGCGACTGGTGATAACCCGCAGGAGCCGAATCCGGGACTGGCAGTTCTCTCTAACTGCTGTGAAATGTGACTTAAAACTGAGCCGGCGATCGAGGAGAACACCGAGGACTCGACATTGCTTTTTATAGGGTACTAGCTGAGTGTGCCCGGTCTTGCTCGGGATTCAATATTAGCTTGAGTTTATGCGCCGATTTAAAAAAAAAGCATGCTATATTGTACGTAGCCCCCCCCCCCTATTATCTAAGGGGCTACCCCCTATGATTATCTCCTTATACCCCTACACTCGCCCCCACATGCCTAATTTGGTTCCATTTGCTTGATTAGTTCTCGAGTTATGCAGAAATTTCTGTTTCATTTGTATGAAGGGGGAGGGGTCTCGAACCATCATAAGAACCTTCCACGGCCCCAAAAACCCCTGTATACAAATTTTCACGCCAATCGGTTCAGTAGTTTCCGAGTCTATAAGGGTCAGACAGACTGACAGACAGACAGACAGACAGAAATTCATTTTTATATATCAGGCATAACATTTGATAACGGCACAAAAGCATTTGAAAACAAACTTTCTAAGGCCCTTTACACGCGAACCAACGTACGCCCACGCAAACCAACAACATCATCGGATAGGAACAACTATCAACTTTCCGAAAGTGGTATTGGTTTGCGTGGGCGTACTTTGGTTAGCGTGTAAAGGGCCTTAGAAAGTTTGTTTACAAATGCTTTTGTGCCGTTATCAAATGTTATGCCTGATATATAGATTATATAGATAGATATATAGATTTTTTCCCCGTCAATCGAAATGGGCCACTTCCAGGGATGGTGGATACTCATGCAGAGGTGGGTTATTGCACTCTTATTGACGGAGAGTTGGAAGTTGGAACCCAGCATTTTCGGCCCATTTGGCAACAGCACTTGTTGCCGTCTGAAGTTTTCTTCGGATTTTTTTTTTGGGTATTTCCCAGACAGAAATAAAGACACCGCTTGGAAGGCAGTCAAATACTCCATTCATAGCCACTAAGAATAGTGTGACGGCCAGAACGGAGCCTTGTGGCACACCCGTTTCCTCAGGAACTTTTTTACTTTTCGTGTTTCCTATCGTCACCTGGAACGTTCTATTGATGAGAAAGTTTTGGATGGATCGAAGAATGTGGCCAGACAGGCCCCATTCTTGCAGCATCTTTAGTACTCCGGGAGTCCAAGCACGATTATATGCTTTGGAGAGATCTAGAATGGCAACGTCGACATGTAGGTTGTCTCTTAGAGCTTCATCGAGAACCTGGCCCAAAGAAGCAAAGTATGTTCCTGTACCAAAGCCTTGTCGGAAAGCATGTTGTCTATGATCCAGGAAATTGTTTTCCCGAAGGTACGCTGTCAGTCTTCTGTTGATGATTCGTTCGTAAATCTTACAGGCACAGCTGGTTAATGCGATTGGACGGAAGTCCTTGGGATCAATTGATGATGATCCGTTTTTCGGTATGGGTTTTTCGGTCACCAGGCTGTGACGCCACTGTTCTGGGAAGAAGTAATTTTGCCAGCATTCATTTAATTTTTTAAGAAGCATTTTTTGCCACGAATCGGAAGGTGCTTTAGCATAGGGTATCCAATGTCGTCAGGGCCTTCAGATTTTCCACTACTACAAGCGAGAGCAAATGATAATTCCGCCATTGTAAAAGGTTGGTTGATTGAGGAGTCTTGCTGATCGGATGGTATTACAAATGTTGATAGGATAAGAATTGTAAAAGGTGTGTGCTTGCATTATTTACCTATAAGCCACATGAGAACCTCATTTCCTTCAATTACTACTCCATTGCAGCACACACCTAATAATGATCACTAACATTCATATAGTTTCAGCATTATCGCCATTTGTAATCAATAGGTGAGTTGTAAAGTATAATTACCATGTACCAGAACCTGGACGGACACGAGCCTACCCAGGGGAGGACCCGGATACGACCACCCATGTGTGTCTAGAGTATCGCACGAGTGCAACGGGAAGGACAGTAGGTGTATAGACTAGGGGGTTAGTCCCTAGGTAAGCCAACTTAACGGTTGGCACAGCCTATACACTGAACAATTACAATTACAATTACAATTTCTAAGGACCTCATTCCAAGGGAGTTCTGGGAAAAAAATCTTTCAGAAAAACATCAAATGCTATCTGCTTTCAAGGTAGTTCTGATGAATTTTCGATTTCCTGTGAAGCCTGATAGTTTTGAGTAGCATTTCAAGAAACTCTAAATTGAATTAAAAGTAATTTTTTATTAAGAATTTCTGAGGAGCACAACTCCTGTGAACTTCAGATGAAAATTCCAAGGGGATCCTGAAGATAATTTCATAAAGTTTGTTGGAGAAAACGAATCCGGAGCATAAGTACATAGAATTTTTAAAAAATGCTAAAACAAGGATTACAATTAAATCTAAGAATAACAAAAAAAAAACATCTTCAAAGGAATTTGGAAAATAAATTCAGGAGAGTTTGCAAATAAATTATGAGTAGAAATCTAAGGAATTTGTGAGAAAAAATGCCAATGAATTCATAAGAGACTTTCAATGTGAGTAGAATTCCAAGGGAAGGGGTGAGATTCAATAGGAAATCTGAAATGAATTCAATGAATATTCGAAGAATCTTTCCAAAGGGTTTCGTATTGTGGAGAATTTCTAGGTAATTCCGAAAAAAAACTAAAAGAAAATTGAATTCGGAGGATAGTTTCAATGAAAATCTCCGTTGAATATGGAATGGACTATTCTGAAGTCTTCAGAACTACTTGAAAGTTCCCAAATGTTTCCTGAATTTAATGAAACTGCCTTGAAGTTCTTTTGTAGTGTGAGAAACTGACCTGGTGCTTACAATACTTCTCATCGAATTTTTAAACTTCCCTGAACTTTATAGGGCTTCCTAAATTTTCCTGAATTTTTCTAACGACCATGGATCTCCTCTAAAGGTTTAACAATACGCTAAAGTTTTCGAAACTTCTTTAAAAATTATGTGACTTCTCTAATGTTAACCGAACTGCTCTGAGGTTTTCTCTTCTTTTCTGAAATTCTCAAAACTTCTCTTAAGTATTTTTTTTTTGCTGTTCTCATGAAGCTTGTTGAACTGTCCTGAAAATGTTTAAGCTTCCGTTAACTTCTGAACTTATGCGAAGGCCTCAATTAACTTTTTAACGTTGTGGCAGTCCGTAAGTAGCCACAGCCACTGGGCTGAAGCTGAGCTACGGATGTCAATATGCCGTACGGCTAACCACTGGGCAGACGGACGGTACTATGACATCTGTAGAGAAACGTAGAGGAACAGATAATCGTTAAATAAACGTTCTTATTAAAAGCACTAATTATTAGTTGATTAATCATTAATAAAACGGGTTATCACATCTGGCGACGACGGATATAAACTGGAATTAATTACAGGTAAGATTTATTTAGAAATATTGGAGAAAAGAAAAAAAAAACTTTTTTTGCTGGGCTAGGAAAGACTCTTCTTGGTTATGTTATGCGTGATGGAAAAAAAAAAAAAAAAAATGTGGATGGCAAGAATTCTAATAAGAATTTGTTTTCATTTTGTCTAATTTAGTGGAAAATACCGAGGGGGACGACACATCTAAATCTCAATTCTACATGCTCAAAAAATCTCACCCTAGCGAATCAATCCTCGAAAAATCATCTTTCATTTCTCGCATCTACTTGCATCGTGCTTCATCTTTTTGCAGGAAATCTTCAAAATTGACATAAATCTTCCTTCTATCTACTCAGCGTGCGTGCAGCTAGCCACAGCAAAACACAATCTTTTCTGCATCGTAGATAGAGTCGTCCCCCTCGGAAAATACTACATCCAAGTAGTGGTCGGTGCATTGCACGACGAAGGTCAGATTAAGACCGTAGCAGGCAGAAAGCCGTCAGGTCAGTGAGAAGACCGTACCAGGCAGTAAGCCGTCAGGTCAGGGAAGACCGTATCAGGCAGAAAGCCGTTAGGTCGAGGAAGACCGTCAAAAGGAACGTAGCTCTCGGGTCGAGGACGACCGATAAATGCAAGAAGCCGCCAGACGGAAACTGGCCGGCCGACAGGATTCGTGGATGTCAATCGTATTGTTGGCCGTGTTTAAACGTAATTCGTCGATTTTGGAAAGGTGAATGCGTAAATAGTATTTACTAACAAACGAAAACCAAAAACAATTATTTTAAATTTTAGCGTTTTTATCAAATAATCAAAGATGGACAAATGGGACATACCGCAATTCAAGTTCAGATCGATTCCAAACAGTACCGTACGCGACGAATGGCAGAAATATAAACGGAATTTCGGTTTCATAGCGGCTGCCAATGGGGAAAAGGACAAAACCCGATTGAAAAATATTTTTTTGGCTAGAGCCGGCCCGGACGTGCAGGAAGTTTTCTCTTCAATACCAGGAGCTGACGTTGATGAAGACAAAGAAAAGAAGATCGATCCGTATCAAACGGCGATCGAGAAACTTGATGAATATTTTTCGCCCAAACGGCACGAAGCTTTCGAAAGGAATTCCTATTGGAATTTGAAGCCAATGGAGGATGAGTCTATGGAGAAGTTTTTGTGGCGTTCGCTTGAGGTGGCTCGAAAATGCAATTTCGGAAGTACCCTTGAGGAGAGTCGTAATATCGCTGTCGTTGACAAGATAATTCTGTTTGCTCCTCCGGAATTAAAGGAGAAACTGCTGCAAAAGGAGTCCTTGACACTAGACGATGTAACTCGAGTGGTCAGTTCGTATGAAGCAGTGAAATATCAATCACAGCAGATGAAAACAGCGTCATCGAGTACAGAACGTTCAGCACCTAGCTATTGGATGGATAATGGCACTAATGTCTGCAAGATTCAAGGTTCGTCGAAAAACCCAACCGGTGAATGTTACCGCTGTGGGCGTAAGAACCACTACGGAAATGATCCGAAGTGTCCAGCTAAAGATCAAAGGTGTAACAAATGTAACAGAATCGGCCATTTCTATAAACGGTGCAGAACAATCACACTTCCTCAGAAGCGAAGCGCGAATAACCCTATCGAATGGCGGGGAAAGAAACCGAAATCCCAAGGTATCATGCGAGTTCAGGACAGCGAGGAGGAAAAACCGGTACCGCCAAATTTCATCTTTAGTATCGGAAATGGGGACGAATTTATCTGGGTCAAAGTAGGAGGCGTCATGATCCAAATGTTGATTGATTCTGGAAGTGCCAAGAACATTATAGATGACAGGACGTGGGCGTACATGAAAACTCATGGAGTGAAAGTTGAGGAATTTTGGAAAGAAGCCGATCAAACTTTCCGTGCGTATGGCCGCGATTCGGAACCGTTAGCAGTAGGTTTGTGTTACAGATACTAGTATACACTTGAGGTTCGAAACTATTGTTTAATTATTGATTATAGGTGGAATGTTTGAAGCAGTTATTTCTGTTGAGGATGCCGGAAAGCGGATTGAAAGGAGCGATCGCTTTTATGTAGTACAGGGAGGTACACAACCCTTACTCGGGCGATTGACTGCTACCAAGCTAGGAGTATTGTCGATCGGTTTACCTAGTGTCCAATCTTCTTTGAACCAGGTTGTAGACGAAAAAAGGCCTTTTCCTAAAATCAAGGATGTCAAATTGAGAATTCCTATCGACAGAACTATAACTCCTGTTGTACAACATGTCAGACGCCCACCTATTGCTCTGCTTTCACGTATTGAAGACAAATTGTCGGCACTTCTGACTACAGATATAATTGAACCAGTCACTGGAGCCAGCGAGTGGGTATCACCGCTAGTGACGATAGTGAAGGATAACGGAGATCTTCGCCTATGCGTGGATATGCGACGCGCAAATCAAGCTATACGACGAGAACACCACATGATGCCAACTATCGAAGATTTTCTTCCTCGCCTCAAAGCTGCCAAGTTCTTCAGTCGGCTTGATATTAAGGAGTCCTACTATCAACTAGAGCTCGAGGAGGATTGCCGAGATATAACGACGTTCATCACTCACAAGGGACTATACCGTTTTAAGCGATTGATGTTCGGCGTCAGCTGCGCGCCGGAAATGTTCCAGAAGGCCTTAGAGCAGATTCTAGCAGGTTGTGAGAATACAGTCAATTATATCGACGATATCATCATTTTCGGACAGACAGAAGAAGAACATGACAGGGCATTGCAACAGGTTCTATCAACTCTAAGAGAAAAAGAGGTGCTTTTGAACCATAGAAAGTGTGTTTTCAAGGCAACGGAGATTGAATTCCTGGGACATGTTATCTCAGAGGAAGGCATACGACCAACTGCAAGCAAAATAGAATCCCTGACCAGATTTCGAGCGCCGAAGACTGCTGAAGAAGTTCGCAGTTTCTTAGGACTGGTAACGTACGTCGGACGTTTCCTGCCGGACTTAGCCACAGTAACGGCTCCTTTACGAGAGTTGACGCAATCGGGAAAACATTTTGTTTGGCAAGAAAGTCATCAAAAGTCGTTCGAAAGATTGAAGGAAATAATCGGCGATATTCGAACCCTGCACTTCTTCGATAACTCACTGCGAACGAGAGTAATAACTGACGCGTCTCCAGTAGCCCTGGGCGCTGTGTTAGTACAGTTTGAAGGTAGTGATGATGAAAATCCTCGGGTTATATGCTACGCTAGTAAGAGCTTAACCGCAACGGAGAAACGTTACTGCCAGACTGAACGTGAAGCGCTGGCAATCGTTTGGGCTGTGGAGCGGTTGTCCGTTTATCTCATTGGTCGGAAATTCGAATTGGAAACCGACCATAAACCTCTGGAGGTAATCTTCTCGCCGTCTTCGAGGCCTTGTGCTAGAATAGAGCGGTGGGTCTTACGCTTACAATCCTTCACATTCGAAGTTAAATACAGGAAGGGTTCAAGCAATGTCGCAGATTCTTTCTCTCGGCTGGTGGAAGAAGATAACGCGGTGGAGTTTGAAAAGGATAATAAGTTTCTTATCCTTGCGGTAACGGAATCGGCCGCAGTGGACGTTGGAGAAATAGAGAACGCGGTGGAAAGGGATCAACAATTACGATTGGTAGTTGAAGCTATGCGATCTGGATCATGGACCAGGGTGGAAGTTAAGGCATTCGAACCATTCCAGAATGAGCTTGGACTTGTCGGAGATTTGTTAGTGCGTGGAAGTAAACTGGTGGTGCCGGAACAGTTGCGGAAGAGGATGCTGGACCTTGCACACGAAGGTCACCCCGGTGAATCTTTAATGAAGCGTAGGCTGCGGGATAGAGTCTGGTGGCCCCGGATGGATGTTGATATCACGTCATACGTCAAGAATTGTGAAGGCTGTCGACTAGTCGGACTTCCTAGCAAACCGGTTCCTATGTCACGCAGAATGATGCCCACAAAACCATGGGTGGATGTGGCCATAGATTTTATGGGTCCACTTCCGTCGGGTGAATACCTGCTTGTCATCGTAGACTACTTCAGTCGATATAAAGAGGTAAAAATCATGGTTAAAATAACAGCTAAGGATACCGTTGGACGTCTCGATAGAATTTTCACTCGACTCGGATATCCACGTACCATGACACTTGACAATGCCAAGCAATTTGTTGGAAAGGAATTTGAACTGTACTGCAACACCCATGGGATTACGTTGAACCATTCTACACCATACTGGCCGCAGGAGAATGGTTTAGTTGAGCGGCAGAACCGATCCTTGCTGAAGCGCTTACAAATAAGCCACGCTCTCGGCCGTGACTGGAAGCAGGATTTGCAGGATTACCTTATTATGTACTATACTACACCGCACTCTTCAACGGGAAAGACGCCAACTGAGTTGTGTTTTGGCAGAACTATCAGATCAAAGATTCCATCCTTGGAGGATATCGAGACGGCACCGGTTAGCACCGAATATACAGACCGTGATCAAGTACTGAAAACAAAACAAAAACAGAGGGAAGATTTGAGAAGAAGGGCTACGGAATCATCAGTTGAGGTAGGTGATACAGTTCTTATGCAGAATCTCGTTCCAGGTAACAAACTTACCACAACATTTAACCCAACGAAGTTCAAGGTCCTCAATCGCAGTGGGGCACGTGTCACAATCGAGGATCAAGATAATGGACGGGTTTTCGACCGTAACGTTTCTCATGTGAAGAAGATAAGTGACGTGGGTGAAACCGGAAGCAACCAGGACCAGGATGTACCTTTTCAGAAGATCATCGAGTCAGATTCAGACGATGATGAAGACAGAATGGGTTTCCACGGATTTGAGGAAGAAGACCAGCAGAGGGATGTTTTGCCAGAGAGGGAGCGACGCAATCGCCGAGTACCGGACAAGTTTCGAGATTTTGTACTGTAAGCGGATTATCTAAAATTTATATAAAAGGGGAGATGTGGCAGTCCGTAAGTAGCCACAGCCACTGGGCTGAAGCTGAGCTACGGATGTCAATATGCCGTACGGCTAACCACTGGGCAGACGGACGGTACTATGACATCTGTAGAGAAACGTAGAGGAACAGATAATCGTTAAATAAACGTTCTTATTAAAAGCACTAATTATTAGTTGATTAATCATTAATAAAACGGGTTATCACAAACGTCTCTGAAGTTCGCTTGACACCTGTGAAGTTCTCTGTAATTCATAAAAGTTGCTGAAAATTTTCGGATGCTCAAAGATCCGGTTTGAGGTTTTTAAAGATTCCAGTAAGTTCCCCATATTTTCAGCGTTTTAACTTACCTTATGTTCCCGCAGTTTGTAGGACGGGATCATGGGCACTTAATTCTGGCACTTGAAAAATGTTCAATATCTTGAACTTGTACATGGAATACGAAACTTCAAAATATTGAATATTTTTTAAATCTTGGACTTACTCAAAGTTTTTTTTTAAACTTTATTAAAGTGAGAAATTATGTAAGTTTTAAACTTCAACATTCAATGAATTTCATTGTAAAGCTGTTTCTTTAAAACTGACTGCAATGTCTTAAAAACGTTTGGGTTAATTGCTGTTGTTTTTGATCTACCAAAAAAAGGCATATTTTAAAAGCATTTAAAAAAATTGTTTTCTTATTATAAGCCTGGAATTTATCCGTTAAAGTTCTGGGAAAACCTGAAAACTCGGATAATTTTATTTATAAAAATAAGTAGACACCCTGTAGACGATTAAACGTCACTAAACTTCTTCGAATTGTTCGAAAATTAGAACAACATTTAGGCATCGATTGGACTATCAGATCCTACACAGTGCAGTGCAAGAAGAATGATCCATCTTGAAATAAATTCAAGCTAAAAAAGTTGAAAATAGTGACTGATTACAAGAAAAAGTGAATTTAGTGACTTGATCTTAAAAAAAGAGACTTTTTAGTGACTGGCTTACAAAAAAAGTGACCAAGTCACTAAAAAGTGACTCGCTACCAGCCCTGCTCTAAACTCTTCTTCTTCTTCTTCTTCTTATTGTTCTTAGCATTTTAAGCTTTATTGTTTATCGCATATTGGCTTATTGCGTGCTCTCAACTTAGTGTTCTAGCCGATTCTATAACATTCCCCATAAAAGATGATGAAATTAGTGATTTATCACTTTTTTTTTTGGTTATTTGATATTATATTTCAGTTTTATATTACAGAACAGCTTAATATACATATTTTATTTATTACTTTTATGGAACTATGTATTTATCAATTACAAACCATTTTATAGCTCTTTAGAAAACCTTCAAGTTTTCGAGCACTTCGTTCATCATTTAATAAGTCAAAGGGTCTATTGTGCAATCCAATTCAACCAGTCGGAAACTGTTAAACCTTATCGAAGAATTGTTCGACCTAAGTTGAAGAATTTCTCGTGATGGATTAAAACACCGGTGCATGGAACGTTGAACTACCATTTACAAATTTATAACATTATTCCACACATTATTATTCCGAATGGGCATTACCCCGTATCCCTTGCGAAAAACTATTGATTATATATTTTCCTTATATATTAAAAGAAGGGAATATTCCCTTCTTTATCATATATCCAAAGAATTAATTATTTCCTTTTGTTATATTTGCAAAGAAAGGAAAACCCCTTGATCCATTAAGAAGTTTTTCTATTCTTTTTATATACGCGAAAGAAGATTCCAGGAGTGACTATAATAAACAAAAATAGTCAATCTAATACATGGCATTCTTTTCTGGGGAATGGTACATTCTGGGGAATGCTTTTCTGGGGAATGTTATAGAACCGTTCTGGCCTGTACCATTTTTGCATTAGTATAACAATTGTGTGGCAAGTACAATCATACCTCTATGATCATACCAATATATCATACGGTAAAATCTCGAACAGCCGATTACCTGGGCATTTACTTTTGCTGATATCTCTGCAAAATATCTATTTGTTAGCTGACATCTCAGCAAATTCGCATTTGTTAACTGAGTCTCGGCAATTGTTTTACTGAATCTCAGCAAAATAAATTACAGAAGTACTCGGCTGTTGGAACCTCGGCGAAAAAAAAATTAAGGATTTGTCCGACTATGAATCAATTCGTCGAACTTTAGAGTTAATTTTAACAACAATTGAATAAATCTGGGACTTTCATCCCCCTCGAAAGAGTATCATTTTGTCATTTTTTATGCATTTCAGTTTTGAGTAGAGTGACAGAGATAGAACCACCGACAAACCGACATGAATGACCATAGCAAAAACAATAAAATTTCTGACCAAAGCACACTACTGACATCTGGCTCCGTGTTCGCAGGAAATATTCAGCTAAGCCATGAACCCGCATGCAAAAGTTATGAATTGGTTCGTGTCTGATCTATTATGGACAAATTATTTGTCCATCGGTGCTATACATTTCCTGAATATCTATGAGGACTTCAACATTTTTAGAAAACTAAGTTCTCAGAATAAGTTTAGAAGACTCCTATCAGAAATTTAAAGAATTTGAGGGCAAGTGCCAACCAATCAAAACCGATTGAGTAATATTAAAGTTTGTAGGAAAAAAAGACGCTAAAAACACATTCGTTTTTTAACGTGTATTTCGATATTCGTTCCTGTTTATTACACGGTTGTGAATTTGAAGTGTCTAATCAAATCGCAGTTTACAACTACTTTCTTTCGGGCAGTTCTACTGAGCTCCACAATCATAATAATGTTAAGCTAATGTTGGGTTTACTATAGTTAGACTTTATTTTTTGGATCCGTCCGCCTTCCTTGTTTATGGTAATTACACAGAACCAGAGTACAACAGCTTCTCGTGTTTTTTTTTGGATGTTTATCTTTTTGTTAATTTATAAAGAATCAATTTTACAAGCTACAGAAGCCTTTACGCTTGCCATGCGCTTTCCCGATTTAGTGCAGGTTGCAAAGGTACGGAACACTGCTCAAGTTACCCACAGCACCAACGGCCAGCTTTCCGGAAGCGACTTTTCGTGCGGCCTGTGAAAATAAAAACAAAATATCTATTTAATAAAATTGTACAAAAGACAAAAAACCATCCACAACTTACCGCCTGTACATCGCTGACCGAAACGCTATCAAGAGCGCCAAGGATTTCTTCCTTCTTGTGGATCTTTCCCAACAGGGCAGCCTGTTCGCCCAAATCGAACGCCAACGTGCAGTGATTTTCCAAATGCTCGGCAATCCAAGCGAAGGCTACTGCTTTGCCACGGGCAACATCGGCATCGGTCACATTCAACGACCTCAGACCCTTGACTCCGGCTTCGACAGCTTTGCCGACCTCGTTGGCATCACCGACTACGACGAACCCGAACAGACCATTATCGCTGTAGGTTGGGCAGATGGCACTGCACGCAACGCTGTTTCCGATTTGTTTGGTCAAGACACCATTGTTGGCACCACGCTTAGTGACCGGGCCTGATCCGCAAGCAGCCTGCAAGACGATGTGGGCAATGCATTCCTTCAGATTGCCCCAACCAGCGCCCTGAGTGGCAACAGCCACGGCAGCCCGGTTTCCTCCGCGCTCATGACGAACTTCGCTGCTGTTGAAGCTATCAGTTTTGCTATCACCGCTGCCACCCGATTCCAGGTTCAGGCTCTGAGCAAATCCAACCAACAACTGATGATCGACACCAACTCCAGCAACGGCAGCACGGTTAGTGGTGCAGTTGGTGGCCACGAAGTGCTGCATGGTTTCCGACGAGTGCTTTCCAGCGTTGTAGCTTGGACAGAAGAGCGAATTACCGATGCCGCTGTGGAAAGCGGCCTTGTGCAAGGACTCAACTGCTTCCACTTCAACTGGAACTCGGGCGATGTCGGCCTTGACCATTGCGGTCAAATCGGCCAACTCCCAAGGCTTGAAGACCTGACCAGTGGCAGCGGCCTCCAAGTACTTCAATCCGGTTTCCAACTCATCCTTGGTAACGGCGACGGTATACGTAATGAGCTCACGGTCCGAGACGGCGGTCAACGAAGCACCAACCTGCTGCAGGTTGCGAGTAATACCGAAATTAGTGGCGGTCTTCGTCGACAGACCAGCAGCTGCTCGCAGGACATGCGAGGCACCCAAATTATCGGCGGCTTCGCAACGGGATCCGGCACTGTAAAAAGCCTTTCCATTAGTAAACAATCCTTCTTGCACAAGCACATCAAACCCATTACCGATAAACAATAGAAACCCGAGCTACGGCAGCACCGGATTCGGCCGAAGCGACCGTCAACTTGTTCGGCAGGTTGGTGCACTGGACATCAGCCGCACCACGGCTGCAGGCAGCAGCCTGTGCCTGAGCTGCGAATCCACGAGCCTAAAATAAAGGGAAAACCGCCATTCGTCGTAATCGGAACCACTTTTCCCAGCTTTTATTCCATCCCGTTGCGTTCAGCTATTTACGTAACATTTTTTGACGTTCTACACTGTCTGCCAGCCGAGATGGAAAAAAGGCTTCCACGGACACTTACCGCAGCGGCACGAAGCATCGGAGTCTTCGAAACAGCGGATGCCATTATTCCTCGTCTAGGTTCGGCTGGGTTTCGGTGTTATTCTAGATCTGGAAAGGATTTGATTTTTTAGATGGATTTTTTTTTTCGGGACTGTCTCGCCCAGTAGCAAAACTCACACGACACTCGCGCTGATGAAAGGGGATTCGATTCGGATTTAAAAGTATGACAGCTGGATCGAATGAGAGTTTTTTTTTTCTTTTCATCACACTCACGCACATCTGTCAAGTCCCGGTTGTGCCAACACTTGCGGAACAAAGCAAAAATGCGTGATAGCGGGTACAGTGCAACTTTCCGTAAGGCGGACGAGTACAAACTACAGCAAGAAAACATCTTGAAAATCTTTCGAAGCTTCAAATTGTTTTGCTGAAACAGCTCACGAAATCGTATATACATGCTGTCAAATGAACTCTTAGCTCCTCCTTCTCTGCTCCACAAATTACGTATACATGGTGTTGGGAGTGCACCTGCCCACAAAGCTCACATATGACTCTTATAAAGTTTGATTAAATTCTTGTTTCAGCAATTCGTAACCCAGTTTTGGCATTATTATTAATATCAAATAAAAACACTTATTCGAGCATCACGTTCGATGATTTACATTTTCCGCCTACTAAGGTTGATGTTTCGACAGTTTCATAATTAATTTGTTTTCAGTAGGTGGCATTACCTTTACTTGTGGTTCAAACAGTAACTACACAGCAAAAAAAAATGTAATATCGATCAATGTAATTCAAGCTGATGTATGAAATAATGATGCAATAGCAAAAAGCAGATACAATATTACATCAATGGATGTAATTTTGTTCGCAAAATCGATGTACATCGTACAACGTTATATTACACAACCGATGGATTGACCTGGTTGCAGCAGTTTGGATGTAATATTCAACAACTTTTTTTTCTGTGTACACGGATAGAAATCTCCTTATACCTTTGACAAATTTCTATTGCTGATTATTCATAAATTGTATAAGTCAATTTATAAGCAGACGCCTTGCAAAAAGTTAATGAAGATGATGCATTCTTATAGGACCTATGTGGTTTGTCTCATGGAATGTATAAGGCTGATGTTTTGGCAAAAATGTATATGTGAAACACATGAATAAAATAATTGATTTTCGTTTCATGTACCCACATGACTTCTGAGCTCTTTTGACGGTATAGAGTTTGCTGACGTTTATTGTACGCACACTACGTCACATGTACGTATACGCAAAATATTTTCATCGGGAAAAAAAACTTCAAGCGGAAAATTTTCCCGATGAAAACAAATCACTGACACAATCATACTTTAGCAATCTCTACACACTAAGATTTTGTTTCCGTGTTCGGTAAATTTTACTGAAATCAGAACAGCTGAACGATCGGTAAAACTTTGACCTTCATTTTAAAGGATATTGAATTTGAAAATAATATAAAAACATGTTCAACCTTGTTTAAATGATAAAATCTTGTCATTTTAGTGGAGATTTAGTTTCAAAATAGCTGAAAGCAATTAAATTGCATAAATTTTTGTCGAAAAATTCAGCTGTTCAGATTTCGGTAAAAATTACCGAAGTCGGCGATAATTTCTAAGTGTGTACGAGTGCATCTACTGAACAAAAATTGACTCAACAGCGGGGCCCTGTTTACTAAAAATGAACACATGAATAATGCTCCCGTAAAATTTTAAAAATGGTCTATCAACTTTTGCAAACAACTTGCTAAACTAAGAAAACTTCAAAGATTGTTTTTATGCAGGGTTACTTCCACTCACTTGCTATAAAAAAATGTTTTTCGGAATTATGAAATCATGAGATGTTATAATGATAATTAGCATTTGTATGCTTCAAGAAGAGATTGTAAAGTACGTGTTTGACACACCAAATCTGTCAATAATGCTTTGAGTGCGTCACAATAATCGATTTTACAACTCGTGAGCGCTCACTCTGAGTGAACACTCACGAATCATATGATCGTTGATTGTGACGCCGTGAAAGCGAAATTGACAGGTTTTATGAATCAAACACGTACTTTACACCCTCTTCTTGTTACTTACAAGTACAACATATCATTATATCATCTAATGATTACATAATTCCGAAAAAAATATTTGTTATAGCAAGTGAGTGGAAGCAACCCTGTTTTTATGTGTCCCACACATGATTTTTTGCAATGTGATAAACAAATTATATATATGTGTCAGACAGATACGTAATATATGTAGACATAAAAGCTATGTGTGACCACACATACTATTCATTTGACGACAATCGGGGGTGACCCCGGCGTAGCGGTTAACATCCATACCTCTTACGCCAAAGTCACGAGTTCAAATATCACCTCCGGACAAGTCACGAATGACCCAAGAGTGTTAAAGTGACTATAATAAAAAAAAAAAAAAAAAATTGACGACAAACCCGAGGGGGACGACACATCTAAATCTCAAGTTTAGATGCTCAACAAATCTCACTCTAGCGAATCAATCTTCGAACAATCTTCTTTCATTTGTCGCATCTACTTGCATCGCTCATCAATTTTTTGCAGGAAATCTTCAGAATCGTCATCAATCTTCTTTCTATCTACTCAGCGTGCGCGCAGCTAGCCACAGCAAAACACAATCTTTTTTGCATCGTAGATAGAGTCGTTCCCCTCGGACAAACCGACATGACACTTAATTCTCAATTCTGCCGACCGTAAACGACCGATTTAAATGTGTAGTGATCCGAACTGTCAAAACCATAGGATTTTTTTTATCTAGATAACAATAATTTGTCCAGAATAGATCAGACACGAAACAATTCATAACTTTTGCATGCGGGTTCATGGCTTAGCTAAATATTTCCCGCGAACATGGAGCCAGATGTCTACTGTGTGCTTTGGTCAGAAAATTTATTGTTTTTGCTATGGTCATTCATGTCGGTTTGTCGGTGATTAAAGTACATTAATTACATTTTCAATCGTTTTAATTACATTAATTACGGATAGATGCCGAGCATGGGTACCGGATGGCGATGGCGATTTTGATGAGCGGTTTGCATGCCGGGCGCTTTGCTTCAACCACGAGTGCGGTGAACTCCGGGTAAATATTATTACCAATCAGTAGAACAGCGCTAGGTGGTATGATGAACCGGGAAATCCACTCGAGATGTCGAGAGGGTAGATGGTTGTTTTGGAGGTTGTGATGAGGACGATTTTGGAACGGAACGGGTTGTGCTCGATGATGCATCGTTCTTCTTCACACAGTCTGTGAAGACGAGTTCGATTCTGAAATAAGTTTTGTAGAAATGCAATAAAAATGGAATCTATGGCTCTGCGAAGATTCAACTTTCGATATTCAAGTGTCGGAAAGGCATTAGAAAATTAATCGTTAAACTCTTTCTTGATAATGTTGTGGCCCTGAAAAGGGCGATTTTTCCAACGCGCTCGGCGTAGTTGCCCTTGCGGAGCAGACGGTGAATACGACCGACTGAGAACTGCAGCAGCTGGGCATTCCATGACGGCGGCCCAGTATACCGGAGCACTGGCACCAACGCACTCGGCGTAGTTGCCTTTTCGCCCCCAGGCTGTGCTGCCGCTGCTCTGCTGCCGCTGCTCTGCTGCCGCTGCTCTGCTGCCGCTGCTCTGCTGCCGTTGCTCTGCTTCCGCTGCACTGCTTCCGCTGCTCTGGTACTGCTGCTCTGCTGCTCTGCTGCCATAGAGGTAACTCTAAGACTAGTAGGTCCCGAAGAAAATCATTATTATTTTTGGCTCACTCAGTACCAGAACAACGGTCCCAAGCAGTCCCAAGCTATTTCACTCACCCCTGCATGTTCTGCATGAATCCACACACCCCTGATGTTATCTGTCAAACTTTCATAGCGAATCAAAACAAACATAGTGTAGTAATAGAATTTCAACTAGAATAGGGTACGTTAATCGTTTGCTTGGGACCAATAGGCTACTAAAGTGGTGAGCTAATTTAAAATCGTTAGTTTCGTATTGATTGTTGCTGCTGCTCTGCTGCTCTGCTGCTGGGTCGACGATCGGATAGACAATGATGGAACGGGCGACCTTGTTGGACGCTTATATAGTAGAACAGAAAATATCAGAGGTGTCAGATACTCGCATCTGATGTCTCGGTTGGAGAAAGTATAAGAATATAAAAAAATCAATCGATTTTCACCATCTTTAGACAATGGTTTACTTTTAACCATTTTTCAATAGTTTACAGAATGAAATCAATAGTTTTGACACATTCAGCAAATTGCTAGAAATATTTCAAATCGATTGATGCCATTATCTCGTAAATCTATCGAGAGACGGTTGAGTTATTATCGTTCAAAATCTTTTAATTTTTTGTAACGCATCAAAAATGACTGTTTTCAATTTTGTACCCCCGTATGTTGCCGAAAGACGTTATCCAACGTCAAAAAGAAGTTGTTGAATATTACATCCAAACTGCTGCAACCAGGTCAATCCATCGGTAGTGTAATATAACCATAGAGGTAACTCTAAGACTAGAAGATCCCGAAATAACGTGCTCAACTTTTTGGCTCAGCTCTGGTACTCTCTTCAGTCCCAAGCTAATCGATTCACCCCTCGAAACATAGGAAAAACCAATAACCCCTCGTTTTATCTGTCAAACTTTCATAGCGAATCAAAACAAACATTGCGTAGTACTAGAATTTCGACTAGAATGGGGTACGTTAATCGTTTGCTTGGGACCAATAGGCTAGTCAAGTAGTGAGCCAATTTAAATCGTTAGTTTCGTATTGATTGTTAATATAACGTTGTACGATGTACATCGATTTTGCGAACAAAATAACATGTAATATTGTATCTGATTTTTGCTATTACATCATTATTTCATACATCAGCTTGAATTACATTGATCGATATTACATTTTTTTTGCTGTGTATCTTCGGTCCCAAGCTAATCGATTCACCCCTCGAAACACAGGAAAATCAAACTTTCATAGCAAATCAAATGTAGTACTAGAATTTCGACTAGAATGGGATACGTTAATCGATTTGCTTGGGACCAATAGGCTAGTCAAGTAGTGAGCCAATTTAAAATCGATAGTTGCGTATTGATTGTTGATATTAAGTTCAGTACTCGGTTCAGTGTAGAAATTCTCGAGAAGCACAACAAGTGGAAACCCTAATAAACAAATACCGTAAACGAACTGTATCTCGGATGGGTAAACTATCCCACAAATGGTTTGGATGATACCCCGAAGACGTCGTTAAGCTCTCTTTTATGGTTATTTTTATTAGGGAAGGGCCTATCAGCTTTTGTAAACAACACTTTGTAAGCCCTTTACTCACCAAGCGTAGGCCAATCACACAAACCAACAGCCACATCAGAGGAGAAATTTTACCCTATTCGATATGATGTCATTGATTTGCGTAGGAGGCCTTCGGTTTGCAAAGAAAGGGCTTACAAAGTAATGTAACAAAAACTGATAGGCTCTTTTCAATTGTTGGTCGAGGATGCCCATCCTGCCTGGCGTTACGTAATAGTTGGTCGCCACTTGTGCATTACCAACCGTAACGAAACAAAGGTAAACACTTCAGCATAAAAGTGCATTCCAGTCCAGCGATGAGTTTATGCAGTAAAATGCATGTTGGTCATTTGACAGTTGCATCCCACAACAAGAAAATTTTCTGCTGATTCCTCCTGTAGTCGAACTTTTCCTACCAGGGACAAGATTATTTCCTGTGTGTGCCATTAATTGCTCTATCCCGGCCCATTTGGACGGAAAGTTGTGCGTAGTTTGTGAAGATTTCCGTAGCACAGGGAGTGTGAAAGTTCGTTAAGAAAATTGTGAAATTATAGGTACAGCAAGAAGACGACTATAGTTTTCCATCAGAGTTGTGTTGTTGTTTCTGCTTGCTGTTGTTGGAGGAACACCGTCTTGGGAGATAATGATGATTCATAGCAGTCGTACCCCGCTGGATGTTATGTTTTCAGTCTGCCTTTGACGACGCTGCTTAGACTGTGTATTGTTGGTTAATTTGATTGTGTGTTGAATCGACCGACGACTATTTTAGCAGGCAAGGCCAGGAAGGACGTGTGTACGGGGTTTGGGTGCGGTGTGTGTGTTCTGACGCGTAGAAAAAGTGCTGTTTGTCATCAGATATCGGACCCATCAGTGAGGAAAATAAAATAAAGCAGAAAAGCCAGGCTAGCAAAGCCCGAAAAGTGCTCCTGCACCTTTGTTGCGAAGAGTGTCTAGAGTAGTACTCGACGACGAAGAAAACTAGTAGAGCTGATCGCTTATAATCAATGTTTTCTGGTGCCTGGTTAGGCAACGAAAAAAGAAGTGCTCGTGAAAGTGTGAAATTGATTTGGAGCAGATCGAATCGTCAGTAGGAAAAGTACAAAGTGTCTATCTGGCTGATTGTGCTTCAGTGTATTCAGCTAGAGTAACTACAACAGCTGTGTCCGCGAGATGGCTTCGTTCTTTAATGTGGGTGCCCTTGGGGGTAACCCGTTTTCAACACCGGTCGGGCAAAGAATTGGTAAGTAGCCCTTCCCAAAGCAGTTATCATTATTGCCAGGGAAAAATGGGTTAAGGAGAGACACTACTGATAAGGATTTCTCTCATTGGACGTATAGCGGTCACTGCAGGGTCAGAGCTTAAGTTGTTGTAATTCATAGATTGAAAATAAACAGTCATCAACATCCCGTGCTTGCAAGCTGCATCTACTCCACCTACACACTCGTTTTTGCTTCTTCTTTTTTTTGCTCCAGCAGTGTCTTAGTACGTAGGTGGGTGGGATTGAAGTTCGCCTTTTTTTTTAGCACTCGCCAGTTTCTTTCTCTTTTCTGTGCTAGCGGTCACATGATAAGGATGCGAAGATAATCTAAAGGTGTAGATAAGAGCTTCATTTTAATGTATCATTGTAACCCGTTTCATACCCGTTTGAAAGAAGTTTCAGACCAGAATCAGCCGTACTCACCTTGTTTGAAATTATGCGACATCATATTTGTGCAGCAGTGGCGCATGCTGCTTAAGCGATCCACATACGTATATTGACGCGAAGGGGAATTAATACTATTGATGTTGTGAATACAGAAATATTGTCAATATCGATGTATGGACGTCAATATAGAATGTATTGTCAATAGAAGCAATGGTGTAGGGTCCACTTAACGGCATTTCCATTGTGATGTCTTCATTTCTACTAGACTAAGCATATTATGTGTATGCGAGCTGCGTTTGTTGAACTTTTTGCCGGTTCCGGACGGGTGCTTTTAGCAGAGCAATGCGTCATAATGCAATGCGACACGGCACTTATTCTAGAAAAGCTGTGAGCTATCTGTTCATGGGCCTGCTCGATTTACTGTATTAAGTCAGGTGACATCGACTAACGGTTGCTATTAAGTAATATTTAGTTATCAACAACTATCATTAGCTTTCTGTGGACCGTAGAATCTTCGATTGTACGACTTTTTCCTCAAAACCCGGCATATAATGCCTGTAGATCGGATTTGTAGACGATCAATATGATGTTGCTACTTTTGCCCCATATAGGATTTACCTCAAACCCTTGAAACCTTAAAATTTTCGTTTGGATTTGATTTTTTTCGAAGTCCAACAACCTGTGACTATTTGTTATTGAAACAATTCAATCATAGAACAACCTTTTAAGCTTTTCTAAGATTAAAAATAAATTAAGTGTTGGTCAAAATAGAGCAATTTTATTAATTTTTCATTCGGTTCAATTTCATGCGTACTTTACAAAATTTATGTTGAACATAGTGTTAACCGTATAAGGAAAATGGCTCTAATGTTGGCCTTTGGATCTAAGATTGGGCCCACCGCTAAAAATCTGCAATTTATCAATTTTATCTAGATGAACGCGTCATTGGGATGGTACTAATGAATATTTTTGGTCGCTATTGAAAATTTAGTCGATTGCTGAATTTATGTATGAGCCCAAATTAGGGGCAGGGGCCTCATAGCCTAGTCAGTAAGGGCACGGTATTACCAAGCCGGAGGTGGCGGGTTCGATTCCCGGTCCGGTCGAGGGAATCTTTCGGGTTGGAAATTTTCTCGACTTCCCTGGGCATAGAGTGCTTGCCACACAATATACAAATTCATGCATTGGTATTGGCATCGAAAGCTCTCAATTAATAACTGTGGAAGTGCATTTAGAACACTAAGTTGAGAGCACGCAATAAGCTAATATGCGCTAATCAATAAGCTTGAAATGCGAATAAGAAGAAGAAGACCAAATTAGGGGCATTTAGGCCGACATTACATCCATTTCCCCTATCTACGCAAATAAAACCAGGGCAATTTATTTCAAATTTGAGTTTGGCCCTTTAGTCCATCCCTTTGACGTCTTTTCAGAATGAATTCGGATTTGTGACCGGAATATGAACCCTGTGGACAACGGGATGGTTCACCGGTAGATTCGGAACATCGCTAAAAGTGGTCAATTCATGAAACTGATTCTAGAGCTCCATGGTTTTTTTTTTCAAAACAACTCATAAACGTTTTATCAGAAAGAATTCTGAGTTGTGTTGATGATGATGGTCCCACCTCTTACCCCTACAAAGGTTTGAGCTGGACGATTTATCTTTAAGATAATTAAATATGACAATTTAACCAGGTTTGCAAACAAAATAGAACTGGTTACAGTTACAGATATAAATTAATAAATTCCCTCTAGAGTTTACAGTTGCTTCACAGCGATATACGTGTGGAAAAGCTCAGGCGTCCACCTCTTAGTTCGCCTTTTTGTCCACCTATAATATTCATAAGTATTACAAGCAAATGTTAAATTCAGTCCTCTATATCCGTAATACGCGCGTTTTGCTGAACGATTGATATGTCTAGGCATCGAATTGAAAACATTTATTCCTTTAACTGACATAACCCCAAGGCTGCAAAATGCGTGTCGATGCATGTTGACATAACTGGTTCTCAGCAATGCAATGACCAATCGTTATGATTCACTGATTCACCCATCATTCAAAAGGTATTGACTTCTCGACGCAAGATCTCACTTACACAACCTTGCTAGTGTAGTCGTGTAAAATCGATTTGTTTATTATTTTCAACCACGAAATCAGCTGTCAAAGTGTTCGACTTGACAGCGGTTTGTTTTTTATTTGCAACCAGTAAAACGCATGTATTAGTGAAACTGATCACTAATACTAACGGTGGTAGAGAACTTTATGGCAATCTACACGGCGAATGAGAACGACCCAAACTTGAGTTTAGTTCACTCATAATCGCCAAAAGTGCTGGAACTCAGCGATGAGTAAAATTTGTCTCATGGTTTCCTGTAGAAAACCTAAAAAATCTGCCGGAAAATGAAGAAATTGACGAAAATTTTATTCAGTCTCGGAGTAGTATCAATAAGCTGAGTTTACTTTTCTCAAATTCGGGATTTCTTCCCTGGAAAATCCTGGAAAAACCTGGGAAAACATGAGGCAAATTTACTCATCGCTGAGTTCCTGCACTTTTGGCGATTACGAGTGAACTAAACTCAAATTTGGGTCGTTCTCATTCGCCGTGTACTTTTGTTTGCAATAGTTATTCAATTGGTCCTGTGATTGGCGAAGGAGGAACGAAAAAAAACCCGGAAAAGTTCCGAGCAAAATGCGTATCGATTCATGTTGACATAACTGATTCTCGGCAATTTGGTTACCACATCTTAAGATTGAGCCACTAAAGTGTGTCCACGATGAAATTGCTCTAACTTTTTAACCGTTGGGTAGAATTTAATGAAAATTTGGGTGGATTTAGTTCATAGTGCATTATTTACATCCTGCAAGTTTTAAAGTCCTGTGATCAAAACTCGCGGAAATGGAGTCGAAAGAACAGCTCGTGCGTGATAAAATCTTGCGCATTCATCACGAGAACAAGGATCTCTCGCATCGTTCCATCGCTAAAACGTTGGGAATCGCGAATTCCACGGTGTCGCGAGTGATTAAGCGGTTCGAGGAACGGTTGACCACCGATCGGAAGCCCAGAAGTGAAGGAAAAAGTATTCCGTACAACACCAAAAATCACAACCGCGTAGTTGGGGCCTTCAACCGAAATCCAAACGCCTCCGTTAGGGATGTGGCTAAGAAGCTGCACCTAGGCCGAAGTTTTGTCCAGAAGGCCAAAACTAAGGCTGGGCTTCGAACGTTCAAGGTACAAAAGGCCCCTAATCGCGACGAGAAGCAGAACAAGTCCGCCAAAACCCGTGCCAGGAAGTTGTACCTCAACATGCTGACGAAAGTTGAATGCTGCATCATGGACGACGAAACATATGTGAAGGCCGACTTCAAACAGATCCCCGGCAACCTGTTTTTCACGGCCAAGGATAAGTTCAGCGTTCCGGAGCATGTCCGCACTCAGAAGATGTCCAAATTTGCGAAGAAATTCCTGGTTTGGCAAGCCATCTGCACGTGCGGGAAGCGGAGTGCACCTTTCGTGACACAGGACACGATGAACGGACAGGTGTACATAAAAGAGTGCCTCCAGAAGCGGCTGCTTCCTCTCCTGAAGGCCCACAACGTCCCAACAATCTTCTGGCCGGATTTGGCCTCATGCCACTACTCCAAGGACGTGCTGAAGTGGTATGCGGACAATAAGGTCAATTTCGTGCCGAAAATGTTCAACCCTCCCAACACTCCGGAGCTCCGCCCCATCGAGAAGTACTGGGCGATTATGAAGCAGCACCTTCTTAAACGACCTAAGGTAGTGAAGACAGTCGAGGAACTGAAGAAAGTATGGGTTTACATGCAAAAAACGGTTGATTCACAGGTTGTGCAGAATCTTATGGCCGGGGTTAAGGCCAAGGTGCTGGCATTTGCGTATGGACTGTAAATAAAATACGAGTAAAATGGTAAAATGTAGTTTAATAGTTATTTCTCAATCCCTGAAAATGTGATGGCAATCGGATGAAAACTCGAATTTTGCGAATCAATTTTGTGTGTGGCAATTTCATCGTGGACACCCTTTACTTCAAAGGTATGACTATCTACTTTCAACCGGAACAGACTAGGAACCGATTGGAGTTGTGGGTGGCCAATCGGAACGATAAAACCCGTGAAAGGTGGAAATTCGGATTCACCGGGGAAATGGTCAATTGTTAAAAGTAGTCCTAGAGCTGCGCGATTTTTTTTTCTAATTTGCATACAATCGTGAGCATAGATGAAATATACCATCACCATGTCGATTTTGCAACCAAGTGGCCAGAAAACGGTTCTCTGGATATCTGGAATCACCGGGAAACTACTTAGTCAATTCCAGAAAGTAGACCCAGAGATGCGCGATTTTTTCTAACTTGCATATAATCATTAGCATAGAGGAAATACGACAACAACATATCGATGCAGCTATCGAGTGGCCAGAATACGGTCCTCTGGATATCCGGAATCACCGGAAAATTAGTCAATTCTTAAAAGTAGACCTGGCGATCCGTGATTTAAAAAAAAAATGTGAAGAGCCCTTCGTTAAGAAGATACATCTCAATGCCATATTGATTTAATCACCCAGTGATTATTGAACGCC